TTGCACCTGAAATGCAAAAGCACACAACATTCACAGTTGCTTAACTGTCTTTACTATTTGTTTTTGCTGTTGCTAGTGCCTGGCTCAGAGGCAGTCAGACTTACAAAATCTGCTGGTGTGAGTACATAATTTTCCCTCGCATCTGGGCATTATGTCAAGGAGACAGTGTCTCGTTAATGACTGTTAGCCTAATACAATAGTACAGAAACACCTAGCGGGATAATGTAAACTAAGCTGATTTAGAACTGTTAAAGCACATACGCATAAAGAGCTTTCCTGTGAGGTTAGGAGCAAGGTGTGTTGGATGAAATATGACTCTGCTTTGTTTAATATGATGAAGACACACACATCCCCACATTTGTTAACAACCTTGTTTTGTTACAGTGAAGACTAAGCAAAGCATGATGGCTGTGCACTGTACAACATACACACAAGCCTGGGCAGTTAGGTTTTCATACGTAGTCTTCTCCTGCTGAACTTGTACCGATTCCTTTAAGACTTTGAAGAAGGTGTTTCAATCATAGGTTGAGGAAGCAGGGAAGAAGTATCAAAAAGATCCGTGAAGACAAACATAATAACCATTGAAAGTTCCTTCCAACTTTATTTTCTATGTTCACTTATTTGGGAGGTGGTCAAGTCTCAGCAAGATTGAGAGCTGGAAGCCCCAATAAAAAGCAGTGTTTGTGTGGGATGCCCCTATTCCTGTTACCCTTTGCAGTGTTTGTAGGAGCTCTCCTGGTCAAGTTCAGACACAGTAGACAGTATTTGGCCTTGGGTCAATATTAATTGCTTAAAAATTCATTTCCTCTTTCCTCTTGGATAGAGAAAATAGTGGGCAATATGGGGGATCTGGCTTATAGTAGTCATTGGGCTGTGCTGCCCTAGATGAACTCATGGGGTCTCATTCAGGCAGTGTGATACACAGGACATAAATTGGGAAAGCAGTGGCAAGCCTAATCAGTAATTATGGGGAAAAAAGAGGTTTATTGTAAACCAGTGTTCTACTTTTGCTAGAATGACAGGAAAGAAATGCCTGGCAGCTATTAGAGTTGTATAGATGTCTTAGATATCTAAGTTTTCTTAGGCAACAAATCCCAAGAGTAACTGAGTATAATTTTGGACAGAAGACCTGTGCAACTTAAACTCTGTGTTAATGTGTTTCTTTGCCCCCCCCCCCCCCCCCC